GGTTCGGGTCCCCGATCGTCGACCTCATCGCAAGCCCCGCAAATGCTCAGCTGCCCCACTTTTTCACCCGATACCCAAGTCCTCTGGTGGAGGGCATGGACGCGTTGCGGAGTCGGTGACCCCCAGAGCTGTTGTACGTGTTTCCGCCAATTCCGCTCATTCAACAGGTAATCAAGAAGATGATATCCAAGCGGGTGGATTTGTTGCTGATGGCTCCCAATTGGCCACACCGTCAATGGTTCTCCGATCTCGTGGAGTTCTCATTAGACAGCCCGTGGGTGATTCCACCCCGCCGAATAGTCCTATGCCAGGGGGCCGTGTGTCATCCCGAGCCCCAGTGGCTCCAGTTGGCCGTCTGGCATTTGAGCAGGTCATCCTGAAGAAAGGTCATCTCTCTGACGAGGTTATTGGAGTCATCCAGGCATCTAGACGGCCTTCGATGACACGGATTTATGATGCCCGCATGAGGGGTTTCCTACATGGGGCTACGAACTTGAGGCCTCCTACTATTCATCGGTATCCGTCTTGGGATCTGCCCCTCGTACTTTGATCTTTGACTAAGCCGCCCTTTGAGCCTCTGGGTTCAGTGTCGCTCAAATTCCTCTCGTTCAAGGTGGCGTTCCTTTTGGCCGTCACATCGGCGCGGAGGGTTTCGGAGCTGTCGGCTTTGTCGGTTCGAAAGGACTTATGCATTTTCTGACCAAATTCTAAGGAAAGTGTATCCTGTTTTCCACTGTAGTCTACTGAAGCCGGCAGTTGGATCTAGGCTAAGACCACAGACTCGACTCCCAAGCCTATGGTGGTGCAAGGAGAAACCCATTATGAAGTAAAAAAGGTTTTAGATTCTAGATTATATAGAGGTTGACTGCAATGTTTAGTTCATTGGAAAGAGTACTCTTTGTGTGAAGCTACTAGGGTTAAAATCTGGGATGTAAAAGCAGACAGGTTAGTAAAATAATTCTATGATAAATACCCTGATAAGCCAAAGGGTCTCCCTGGAGAGGGGGGAAGAGGTGGTTAGTCTATCCTATTGAATTAACCCTGTGTTGCTCTTGTTACAGGACACAATCTTCTGATGGGGGTATGTGGTCCGTCAGGCTTGGAAGCCATCTTTTGCCTTTGGCCTTCAGGCCTGTCATATTTACTACTGTGGGAAACTGGGAAGGGGGATTGTATGGAGTAGGAGAGATATATAGTCATAATAACATTCCTTTCTCAGAGAGTCAAAGACATCTTGCCCTGCACCTGGAAGGGTGTGACTGGGAGGTATCCCCATATGGGATAGTGCTTTGATTGGGCCATGTGATGGATATATGGGTGTTGGGCAGGGGCTTGTACTTTCACAGGTCTAGGACTTTTCGGCTCCTACTCTTGGCCATGCCTGCTTCTCCACCAGGGTTCCACCTCCTGGCATTCACTGCTAGCTTTTCTCCTTGGCTGACAACCCCCCTCCCCACTCATTTACCCTGGCCAATGGGCCATGGCCCCTCCATCCCACATGCTTTGGCATGGCCTATTCGACACCACACTGTTCGTCCCGGGATTTTGGCCCCCCAGGTCAGTTAGCTGCCAGCCAATCAAATAGCTGCCAATGTTGGCAGCCAGAAGCCATGGTGCAATCAATCACAGGGTTGGGGGTTGGGGGAGGTGCTGCAGCCAAACCGTGTCAGGCATTTGTTAGGAGAAGGAAGGGGAGGTGTGGAAGTTCCCCTGTACCTGATCATGTCTCCCTGATAATGAATGAACGGGAAGGGAAGAGCAGGGGTGGGGTGGTAAGTACGCTGGCTTCATCCAAAGGGAAGAGGGGGAGAGAGAGAGAGAGAAAGAGAGAGAGAGAGAAAGGAGACAAAGAAAAAAGAAAAAGGGTGGGAAGGAAGAAAGAAAGAGAAGGAAAGAGGGAGGCAAGGTAGAAAGAGGGAAGGGAAGGGAAAGTGAATGAGATATGGATGAAGGGAGGGAGGGAGGGTGGGAAAAAGGAGAGGAAGGAAGGACCACAAACCCTGTCACTAGATGCAGCTTCAGAGGATGCTTTGAAACAGCACAGCAGTCCAGGGCTGGAGGTGACCTCAGAGATCATCTAGTCCAACCCCCTGCTCCAGCAGGAGACCTTATATCATTTTGGTTATTTTAGTACCTCTAACACAGAGGAGAAATTCCCAGAAAAGGGAAGGAGTTTACTAGGAAAGGCTGTCATGCAAAGGAAGGCAGAGATAGTCCTCAACTAACAACAACAATTGAGCCCAAAATTTTGTTTGCTAAAGTGAGTTTTGCTAAAGTGAGTTTTGATGCCTCTTACTCAGTCCATCCTCCAACAGTGGATGTCAATCATTGAGAGCAAAGGCATGCCAGATTACCGGTGATTGACGCACTCATATGGGAAGGGTAAGGGTACCCCTCGATTTAACTGTATGTCCACCATTGAGTCTCAAATCTCAGTTGCAAAGCAAGACAGCTGTTCAGTGAGCTTTCACCCACTTTACAACCTTTCTTGCCACCATTGTTAAGCAAGTAGTTGCAGCTCTTAAGTAAGTCACATAGTCATTAAGTGAATCTGGCTTCCCTGTGGACTTCATTGGTCAGGTCACAAAAGGGGATCGTGTGACTCTGGGACACTGAGACCATCATAAGTAAGAGTCAGTTGCCAAGCACTCAAATTTGGATCACCTGACCGTGGGCATGCTGCAATGGTTATTAAGTGTGAAAAACAGATTCAGGGAAGCCAGATTCACTTAGTGACTGTGTGACTGACTTAGCGACCGTAGTTACAATGGCACTGGAAAAAGGGACTTATGACTGTTTTTCACACTTAATGACTGTTGCAATGGTTTTGTAAAAACATTACTAAGAAAGCAATTCTGGTGGCCCTCATTAAAAAAAGACATAGAAAGCTATGTAAGAAGTTGCCCCATTTGCACTGCCGCTAAACACAGGCAAGGGAAAACCTCCAGTCTACTACAGCTGGTGGCCCACCCTTCAGCACATGGAGAGAGATCTCCATGGATTTTATTGTAGAATTGCCCGAGACTTCTGGAAATACAGTGATCTGGGTTATTACATACCTTTTCTCAAAGCAAGTTCACTTCGTCCCATGCCAAAAGATCCCTACGTCCAAAGCCTTGGCTAAGCTGTTTTTGATCCATGTATACTGCTTGCATGGGCCCCCACGACGTATTATTTCAGACAGAGGGATGCAATTCACATCCCAGTTCTGGAAAGCCTTTTTGAACCTACTCAGAACCGAACAGGGACTTAGTTCTAGTCATCATCTGCAAACAAACAGGGCTATGGAACGAACGAAGTCAGTTCTGGAACAGTTACCTGTGTTGTTTTATTAACTATCAGCAGGACAACTGGACGGAGCTATTGTCTTTTGCAGAAGCGGCCTATAATAATGCAATCCATACTAGTACAGGTTTTATTCCATTCAGGGTTGTCGCAGAGCAAGAATTTAATGCTGTGCTTGAGCTACCCTCACACGAACCAGAAATCCCTTCATTGAAACAATTTATTAGTCATTTGCAAACCATTTGGCCAGTGGTCCACAAAGCCTTGGATGAAGCCAAGGTTGCTATAAAGTACAGGCAGACAAGAAACGAATAGAACCTAGACCTTACAAAGTGAGGGGACAAAATTTACCTTTCCACTTAGTTTCTAAAATCTTTGCAGCAGTCTAAAAAGCTGGGCCCTAAATATATTGGGTTTTTCCCCATCGTTCGCATTATTAACTCTGTCATGGTGGAATTGCAATTCCATAAGTCATTATGGCAAGTCCACCCCATTTTCCATTGTAGCTTGCTGAAGCCTGAAGTCACCTCTGACCTTCATCTGACTACTACCCCTGTTCCACTCCCTATTATGGTAGAAGGCGAACAACATTTTGAAGTTCAAGAAATTCTAGACTAGGAAATTCTGCGAAGCCACTCAGTACCTGGTGGCTTGGAAACAACTCCCCTTCTCACAAAATAAATGGGTTCACAAAAAATATGTGCACACCCCTAAATTAATGCATATATTTAATCAATTGTACCCTGACAAACCTTGCTGATTTTATGTTTTCTTTGTCTCTCCTTCCCTCTTCTTGTTTTCTTTCTAGTGGACTTCCCATTTTTCTAAGGGGGGGAGTGGCATATCAGGTCCCATATATTTCTATTGGGACGTTGGAATTCTGTGGGAGGGGGGAGGATTGGAGGGATCTCTATATGAAGTTTCTGTTTCCTGCTGCTGTGCTGTGAATTTCTGTTTCCTGCATTGCTGTACTGTGGGAGGGGTTTGTTTGCACTGCTTTAAATTGCTGTTTTTTAAGTGGGGAGAGTTAGTTCTGGCCTAGACCTCTTGCTATCACAAGCCTTTCAATAAAAGCTCCTTTTGGAACAACTTCAGTTTCAAGAGTCCTGTTTTCTTGCAAAGATTTGGAGAGGCAAGACCTTACAATAGTCTAGATTCTTAGGAAGGATTGTGTTCCAGAGCAGCAAAAGGGAGGTTAGATAGTTTGTGTGGAGGAGTTAAAATGGCTTCTCCCTTCCCTACCGGTTCGCAAATGTGTGCACACTGCGTGCTCGCTCGCTTTTTTCACTTGCTCACATTGTCGTCTGCGCATGCGCAAAGCCTTCTGCGCATGCGCAGAGGCTTAAAATGTCGCAAAAAAGTGACATCATGACATCTGCACGGGTGGGTGGAGCTTCCTGCAGCTGCCGCTACTGGTTTGCCTGAGCTGGATAGAACCGGCTGAATTTCACCCCTGCACGTGTCTAATACCTGATTGGCCTTTTTGAATTATACAGAGTATAGAACTATACAGAGTATAGAGTGGTGAGGGTTCTAGATCATAATCACTAAACCTTGAAGCCCAGCACTAACTAATAGATACCAACTGTGAAAGCCAACATCTGTAAATTACTAGTGGAGTGGTTGATAATATATGTAGCTTATATGAGATTTGGAAAATGGGCTTTGATTATAAATAAGATATCAGAACCTAACAACTTTTTTATTTATTTCAGTGCGAAGGCTAACAACTAATGGCATTCTACTTCAGGTTTTTCCACTTCATGACCCAGACCATTTAAAAAAACTTGGGCAGATATGGTATGAACAACTGAAAATTAGATACCAACCTTTAGGTAAGTTGACATTACTGATTCTGGAAAAGAACAGACTCAGATTTGCATAAATTATGTAATTATTAGGGGCTTCAGATTCACAAAGCATAAGACTGCATGTTAAATGCAAATTCAAGACCATATACGGCCTATGTGCAAGCAGCAATATCAGGGAATACTGGCTTATTTGATTTGATTCTTTCCTGATGTTAGGTATGGATATAGGTGTATTCTTCTGTATTTTTTAGTATAATGAACTAATAGAAAATGGACATTCACAGAGGGAAATGAAGGATTTTTTGGTACAAATATTAAATAGTGAGAAAATGTTTGAAATTGTATATATCTGATAATTGAGATACATACCAGAGACAGAGCAATATGACTTTGTAAATAGGACCCATATTTCTATTTTGAGAGATTTGTCTTGTCTTCGTTTGACTTGATAAGTTAGGGAAATAGTGAGATGAAGATTTATAAATAGATTTATTATATACTATATAAATTCACTGAAGGCTAAACCCATTTAGCTTCTGAGTCTGAACCAGGTTGGTTAGGTATTGCTACCTACTGAATGTTTTTTTTCCTTCTCACAGATGAAATTCGCTCTTATTTTGGTGAAACACTTGCTTTCTATTTTGCCTTTTTGGAATATATCACATTTGCTTTAATTCCAATGGCAGTCATTGGGATCCCTTATTATGTTTTTGACTGGGAAGATTATGACAAGTATGTGCTATTTGCAGCATTCAATCTGCTGTGGTCTACTGTTATCCTTGAACTCTGGAAACGATCTTGTGCTGTTATGGCTTACAGATGGGGAACACTGATGATGAAGCGACAATTTGAGGAACCAAGACCAGGATTTCATGGGGTTTTAGGTATCAATCCTGTCACTGGCAGAGAGGAACCCATATATTCCAGTTTCAAAAGACAATTACGGATTTATTTTGTTTCAGTTCCATTTGTGTGCCTTTGCCTCTGCTTTTCACTTCAAATAATGATGATTTATTTTGACTTGGAATTCCAAGCACGTTTATATTATGAAGAAAACCAAAATGAATTAAGCGCCTTGATATTATATATGCCCAGCATAATTTATGCTGTTGTGATTGAAATTCTAAATCGAATTTATAGATACGCTGCAGAATTCTTGACCTCATGGGGTAAGATTATTCCACCTTTTTCATGTATCTTGTTTATTGCTACTATATTAACTTATATTAACCTGCTCTATAATACAATTAGTTCCACTTTTGTATGATAGTAAAACTTTCATAATTTAGATGCCAAGGTAAAACCTGCAATAAAATAATTAGCATGAAGGAACCTTATACAGGGGATTCTCATTATTGGTACTAGTTATCTTTAATAAAGTCACTGTGAACACTGAATTAGCAAATACTGAAACCTCTGCTGGAAATATGTGTGTTGCACAACAGGTTTTCTTTCTTTTCTTTTCCTTTTTTGCTCTCTGCATGTTTACGGATGATTGAAAGCACCATGAGTATTATTTTTTTAGTTACAAATAAAATTTAACAAATAGGCAAATTTACAAATAAAGAATTTGTGAATAATTAGAATCAACTCTATGGTTTCATCTGATTTTTAAGAGCTGATAAAAAAATTATTAAGCTGAAAACATTGAAATTCAGCGCTCTTGTTTGTAACAGCTAAAATATCCATCTTGTTTAGATTTTTTTCCCCTAGGGAGTTTATACCTATGTACCCAACACTGTCCTGTTAGTTCAATAGTTTAAAGCTAATGCAGAGTCCTTTATTATCTGGAAATGAAAGTTCTATTGTTTTATAATAATTACTTTATAAAGTAAAATTTGAATAGATTTGTGAGAATTGAATCTTGCCTTATAACAGATAATGCAGATTTTGAATCTAGAATTGTAGAGAACTGAAGTTCAGATAGCTGTTCAGTTATGAAGCAAACTGTCTTTGGGAAGTTATGATTTCATTCTAACCTTTCTAGATTGGGCAAGGTAAAAAGTGATTTGAGTCTGTTAAAGTTTTGGAATAAAATATAACTTTGAATTTAAATAAGATAAAGGCAAAAACTTTAAATAAATAAATAAATAAATGTAGTTACATTGCAATTATATCCTAAAATCTCCAATTCCACTTGATTAACAAAGTTGATTCTGAAGGCTTTGCTACCAGGATAATTGCCCTGTTCTTGCTAATTCCTCATACCTACAGTAATTTTATTTAAAAAGGCTTTTCTATAAAATGGCTTGATCTAAAATTATTTTAGTCACACTTTATTAAAGAATTAGTCCAAAGCTCACATATGGATTGTCAGACTATTTTAAAATTCAGTATAGTTTTTCTTTCTACACTGTGTGCACAATTATTAGGCAAGTTATATTTTGGAGGATTAATTTTATTACTGAACAACTACCATGCTCTCGGTCAATCAAAATGTTAATAAACCTCAAAACTGAATATTTAAGAAAGTAAAAGTTTTGGCTTTCTTACGAGAATATGTGTGCACAATTATTGGGCAACTATCTGTGTGCAGAATTATTATGCAACTAAATGAAAAATGAAAATTTGTCCATCTCACTTGCTTATTTGCACTGTTGAAGTGAGAATAATAAACAAACAACTCAAAATGTACAAATAAACATTTCTGACATTTCAAAAAAAAAAAAAATCAGTGATCAATATAGCTACCCTTTTTTCCCCAATAACAGCCATAAGTCTTCCATTCATGGAATCTGTCAGTTTCTTGATCTGATGGCAATCAACTTTTTGTACAGTAGCAACCATAGCCTCCCAGACACTGTTCAGAGAAGTGTACTGTTTTCCTTCATCGTAAACCCCCCATTTAAGAAGGGCCCACAAGTTCTCAATAGGGAGGAAGTTCTCAATCAGTTGAGGAAGGGGGGCCATGTCATTATTATTTCATCTTATGGCTTTTACTGGCTAGCCACACAATGGAGTACTTCTATGCATGCAATGGAGTATTGTCCAGCATAAAAATCATGGTTTTCTTGAAAGATGCAGACTTTTTTTCCTGTACCATTGCTTGAAGAAAGTGTCTTCTAAAAACTGACAGCAGGTTTGGGAGTTGATTTTGAGTCCATCTTCAACCTGAAAAGGTCCAACTAGCTCATCTTTAATAATACTAGCTCATAGCAGCTCGTTGTGCCCATGTAACACCTCTCCTACGCGAGCTGCACTGGCTCCCGGTGGTCTCCCGGGTGCGATTCAAGGTGTTAGTTATCACCTTTAAAGCGCTCCATGGCTTAGGACCTGGGTACCTACGAGACCGTCTTTTGCCACCAATAGCCTCCCACTGACCAGTTCGTTCTCACAGGGAAGGACTACTCAGGGTACCGTCAGTCAAATTATGCCGACTGGCGACTCCCACGGGGAGGGCCTTCTCTGTGAGGGCTCCAACCCTTTGGAATGACCTGCCCCCTGAGATACGAAATATCCCTGATCTCCGTGCTTTCCGACGTGCCCTCAAAACCCTGATGTTCCAACAGGCGGGGCTAAACATATGAACATGTGAATGTTTTTAAAATGTTATCTAATTTTAGGTTCTATTTAATTGGGCCAAACTATGTTATAATAATAATTTTAATTAGCAATTTTATGATGTTTGTGTATCTATATTTTTCTTGACTGTACACCGCCTTTAGTCCTACGGGAGAAAGGCGGTATAGAAATATAATAAATAAATAAATAAATACATACATCTCCAACTTGCTGGCATCTGAGTCGAAGTGGAGCTCTGTGCTCGTTAGTGATCCAGCCGTGGGCCCATGGTCCGTCAGGAGTTACTCTCATCAGTCCATTGAAAAATCTGTCTTCAGATATTTCTTAGTCCAGTCTTGCTGTTTCAATTTATGTGTCTTGTTTAGTGGTGGTTGGGTTTCAGCCTCCCTTATCTTGGCCATGTCTCTGAGCACTGAACACCTTGTAATTTTGGGCACTCCCGGTAGGTTGCAATTCTGGAATATGACGGCAATGGAGGATAATTGGTTCCTGGTAGCTTTATGTTTGATTCTTTTCAAATCTTTGGCAGTTAATGTGTGTCTTTTTCTCAACATGTTTCATGAGACCTTATTGACTAGATACTTGCAACAAAACATTTGATGGTTATCACACCCAAATATCTTAGCAATTTCAAAAGTGCTGCATGCCTCTGAAATATTTTTTACAATTTTTGACTTTTCAGAGTTAGTTAACTCATTTGGCCCATTTTGCCTGAGGAAAAGAAGCTGCCTAATAATAACACACACCTTGATATAGGGTGTTGATCTCCTTAGGCCACACCCTCCCTCATTACACAAATACACATCACCTGATATGTTTATATCCACTAAGCATTCAAGTTTATACATCTTGGAGGTGGAAAATATGCGTAAAATATGGTCAACGTATTCACTTGCCTAATAATTGTGCATACAGTGTAGTAGTATGGACTCTAGATTACTGAAGTTGATAGTGCATCTTCTTAAAATCTAGGCAGTCTAATGTTTAAAATAACTCTCTAGAATAAGAATAAGAAAAAAAATTCTTTATTAGGAAACAGCTATTGCTTTAATATTCTTAGAAAGATTCCTTGATTAAGACTTTCTGGACTATTAAATAAAAGTCAGATTGTTAACACTCTTTAATAATTGACAGCCTCAATAGAAAAGGATGTTAACTTTGAATGTAATGTTTTTAATGTTTTGTTTAAACATTCAATGCATTCTGTAAAATTGTAAATCTCCAAGTGATATGAATAGAAAACCTTAGTGAAAAAGGAAATCTTGCCTCCTTATTTTGATAGACCTATAATAACTTTTACTGTATGTAGTTGTACTATTTTATTTTTGTTTTTTGTCTTACTGTAATCAAGTTGTCAGTGTAATCAAGTATACACATGATATAAATATTGTAGTTTAAATATACATTCTGCAATTTCTCATATCTTTCATTTTTATATTCACTCTTACTTTCATTTGAAGACAAAATATTTCACTTATTATAAATGGTATCTAATATTTTCAATTTTAATTGAATTTCAGAAAACCATAGATTGGAGTCTTCATATCAGAATCACTTAGTTTTGAAAGTCTTGGTGGTAGGTATAATTGAGGCATTTTGCTTATGATTTGCTTATAATATCTCTGCAGAAAGCCAACTGAAATGAGTTTGACTCTAGAGATTGCTGTTTTGGGTCAGAAAGGACTTCTGTATAGATCATGGGTATCCAACCTTTTGGCTTGCCTGGGCTGCATTGAGTGAAGAGGGTCTTGGATATAAAATATATAATTTAGTTAATGTATATAAACCACATAATGTTAAATGTTTACTATCTTGTCAGGCCACATTACTAGCTGTCCAGAGTCACCTGCAACCCACAAGTTGCAGATTCTTCATTCCTGATGTAGATGTAGGGCACACTTGCAAATTTTACTTTCCTTTTTAACCACTCTTAGTCTTCCCCAAAAGCTACAGTGGAAAATGTGAACTTCCCTGCTTGTATGACATATAAAAGGGATAAGAAATTGCAACCAAGGCTGTGAATATCCTGTAAATCTGCAAAAGTACCAAAGAAGTCCAGTATGGTACTGTTTTAACTGCACATTTTCCAAAGGCCTGTGTCTGGTATCTAATACCTAACAGACTTTTCTTTTTTAATTTTTTAATTTTATTATATAAAATATAAAATACAAAAAAAGAAAAAAGAAAATAAGAAATTAAGGATGGGCAAGGGAACGGGAAAAGGTGTGGAATACAAGAGGGAAGAGAAAAAGAAAGAAAAGGGGGCATTGACTTCCAACTCTTTCTAGCACAGTACAAGATAAACACACTCCAGCCTCAACTTTTTGCTTTTGCCCATTAATATATAACTAGCTATTTTTATAACACCAGGTCTTTCTAATCAACAAAAATAAGATCAAAATTTCATTTTTTTTGACTTCCGGTTTGCTGGCTACCGACGAAAGACGGTCCTTCTTCTTGGACCGCCAGCCCCGCCGCCTGTAGATCCGCTTCGTTTCCAAGAAGCAGCTTGAAAACTCCCAAATCTGAAGGATTGGTAGAGGAGAGCGAGCAAGGAGCAGGTTGAGCCCCTGTGAGCCCCCAGAAAATGGCTACTGGGGAGGAAACAGGCGCGGCTCCCTTTCAACTTGCTGAGACTCCGGATGGCGTGGGATGACTCTGCTTTGCGCAGAGCAAGTCGGCTGCAGCAACCTCTCAAATTAAATGAAATCAACTTCAACAATTAGCGGAAACAACAACTTGAACCTTCAAACCTAGAAATTGCAAGTATTATTGTTTTTGTGACTTTTTGATTTAAGTAAAAGTACGAGCGAGTGAAAGCGGCTTGAAAAAATGGCGCCCGGCTTCAGCGTTAACAAGCTGAGAGTGAGAGTGGACTTGTAAAGTTATTTTAACTAGCTACAAAGTTGCGCTGCTTGTAACAAGGAGGAACAGGAGAAGAGGAAAAATTCTTTTAAAATAAGCCTGAGCTTGCTTCAGTCTAATTCTGTCCCCAATTTGATTAAACCTGGGGGATTTTTTTAGAGGACTTTGTGGTGGTGGAAAAGGAAAAAGGATCTCCTTTTTCAGAAAAGCTAATCTACGTGGCAGAATGGCTTCTAAGAAACAGGAAGGAAAGGCAGCGGGGGGGGGGAATCCCCCACACGTAAACCTGAGCAGCAGCTTCCTCCCAGTCAGCAGAGTCAGAAAAAAGATTTTGATGTTGAAAGTTTAAAAGATTTTATTACTCAGGCTCTGGATGATAAATTTCAAAAATCACAACAGGAAATTAATGAAATTAAAAAGGTGGTGCAAGAGAATTATGGCAAGGTGACTAATAAATTATCGAATGTGGTGTCTGGCCTGTCAGAAATTATTATTAAAATGGATTCCAAGTTGGAAGAATTTAAATCAGAAGTGAATGTTAAAATAAAGGATACTGATTACAAAATTTCTGATGTTGATAATAAAATGCAGAGAGTTGAAAACGAAATTACGATGATGCAGTTCAGGTCGATGGAATTCGCCATAAGGATTAGAGGTATTAAGGAGAATGATCGACAAGACCTGAGACAGATTTGTGCTGACGCTTTGGCTGTGTTGTTAAAAATTAATCCTGAAGAGATTTTTTACAAAATAGACAAAATTTACAGAGTGAATTCGTGGGTGGCCAGACAAAGACAATTGCCTAGAGATGTGGTGATATATTTTACAGATAGAAGAATGAGAAATGATATTTTGCAAAAATCTTTTCTCTCTTCTGTGCAAGTGGAGGGAGCTCAAATTGGAATTTATAAAGAACTGCCACCTAAGATGTTAAAAGATAGAAAAGATTTTGGCTTTTTAGTGAAGGAATTAAAAAAACAACAAATACCATTTCGGTGGGATGCCCCAACTGGCATAATTCTGAAGTACAACGGAGAAAGATATCGATTGAATACTGTTGAGAAGGCGGAACATTTCTACTCTACGGTTTTTAAAGAGAGATCACCATCTCCACGTACATCTACTGTGTTGGAGATAAAGGAGAGTGACAAGGAGAAGCAACCTCAGCAAGAGATGGAAGAGCAGCTTAAGCAGGTGGAATCAGAGCCAGCAGAAATGCAGGGTGCTACAGGAGGTTTTCTGAAGGAGCCCCTGTTAGAATCTTCTCCAATTTTGTCCACAAGAGATGTGGCTTTGGACCTAGCTCGGATGGCTGAAGCCAAAGACCAGCGTGTAACTCGTGCAATCTCCAAGCAACTCAAAGAAAAGCAACAACAGGAAAGATCTAAGGCACAACAATACAAAAAGGGAGTCAAGAGTACTACACAAGAAAGTGAAGCCATGGGGGGAGCAAAGCCGAAGACTTCGGAAGATATTCGGCAATTCTGCTCGTCGCTTCAAAAAAGTCTACATGATGATTAAGTTTCTATCTTGGAATGTGAATGGATTGAATTCACCACAGAAAAGGAAGAAGTTATTTACATATTTGAGACAATTTAATAATGATATAATTTGCTTACAAGAAACTCATGTCAGAACACAAGATCAAAAATACTTGATAAATTCAAAATTAGGAACACATTTTATAGCTTCAAATTTGGAAAAAAAGAATGGTGTGGTCATTTATATAAATAAAAGACTGTCAGCTAAAATTATAGAAGCAGATGAAGGCGGCAGGTTTATAGCAATTGAACTGCATACGGTAAATGGCCAAATTCTCGTGATTGGAATTTATGCTCCTAATCAACAACAGGATCATTTTTATAAAACTTTGCACACTAAAATACTGCAATGGGATTATAGATCTATTTTAATCATGGGAGACTGGAATGGAGTAATTGATTCCAAATTAGATAAAAAGAGCCTGGCGAAGTCAAGGATTAGATTACCACAGACTTTTTTCGACATGAAAGAAGATTTGGAATTAAAAGATATTTGGAGAATACATAATCCAAAAGAATTGGACTATACTTTTTTTTCTGACAGACATAGATCTTTCTCTAGGATTGATTTTATTTTGTTATCAGATGATTTACTTGTTAAGACAAAAAGAACAAAGATTTTTCCAAGAACTCTAACCGACCATAGCCCAGTATGGATAGAAATTGAGACTGGAAAGACTGAGAGAAGATCATGGAGATTAAATGAAAATTTGTTTAGATATGAAAAAAATATAATAGAACTTAAAAAGCAGATGAAAGAATTTTTTGAAATAAATTTGAATAAGGGTACCCCTATTGAAATTGTGTGGGATGCGAGTAAAGCGTATATGAGAGGGGTACTCATTCACATGAATTCTAAACATAAACTGAATAGACAAAAGAAAAGATCTGAACTGGAAGTAGAAATAAAGAATAAATAACAGTTACTTATTAAAAATCCAACAGATGAAAGAATACGTGGTGCTATAAAACTTCTGAAAGATCAATTTCAAATGCTTATGGCGGAACAAGTTGCAACAAATTTACAATATGCGAAGCATAATACATTTTGTAATGCCAATAAACCGGGCAGATGGTTGGCCTATACATTAAGGAAGAAGCAGAGTATACGGACTATTGATAGTATCGATATTGGAGGGAAAGAAATCTCTCAACAAAAATTAATTAAAGAAGTCTTTGTAGATTATTATACTAAATTATATGCTAAAGATGATATGCAGAATGGACTTATAGAAAAATATTTAGAAAATAAAAGAGTCACAAAAATTACCAACCAACAAAAGGAAAGAATAAATCATCCTATAACAGTTGAGGAGATAATTGCAGCAATTAAACAATTAAAAACAGCTAAAGCTCCTGGAACGGATGGCTTGACTGCAGTGTATTATAAAACTTTGCAAGCAGAAATGGTGGAACAACTCAGAGACTTATTTTGTAACATACAACAAGGGGGTAAAATACCCCCATCATGGAAAACAGCTTACATTTCTTTGATACCAAAAGAGCAAGCAGGTCCTAAAAAACCGGAGAATTATAGACCAATATCTCTTCTGAATAATGATTATAAAATTTACGCAAAAGTACTAGCCAACAGGTTGATGCCAGTTATTCAAGAGGTGATTCACGATGATCAAGCGGGATTTATAGAGGGCAGATATATGAAGGATAATGTAAGGCAAGTTATAGATTTATTGGAATATCTTGAGAAGAATAAACAGATTCCTGCAGTGCTGGTCTTCTTGGATGCGGAGAAGGCCTTTGATAGAGTGGACTGGAATTTTCTATTAAAGACTTTAAAAAAGATGGACTTTGGGGATCAATTTATACAGGCTGTTTCAGCAATTTACCAAGAACAAAAGGCACAGATTATTATTAATGGAAGTTTGATAACAGATTTTAATATTGAAAAAGGAACAAGACAAGGTTGTCCGTTATCCCCATTGTTATTTATTTTAACACTAGAAGTCTTGTTGAATACAATACGGGACTCGAATATCTTGAAAGGTATAGTGATAAGGTAAGAGGACTATAGAATAAGGGCATTTGCAGATGATCTGGTTGTTACCTAACACAGCCGATGGAATCAATAATCCAGATGAAAGACATTATAAAAGACTATGGCACAGTATCAGGATTTAGACTGAACCAAAAAAACCTAAGATGATAGTTAAAAATATGACACAAGATCGAAAACACGAACTTGAAAGGAGGGCAGGTTTTGAGATTGTACCAAAGGTTAAATATCTAGGAGTTCAGGTTGCAGAATCAAATATGAAATTGTTTCAAAATAATTATGAGGTATTGTGGCGAGATATACAGAAAGATATGGAGACTTGGAAAAAACTCCAGTTGTCTTTACTTGGAAGAATAGCAGCAGTTAAGATGAACATTTTGCCAAGATTTCTTTTTTTGTTTCAAATGATTCCGATGCTTAAAAGTGATAAACAACTGAAAGAATGGCAAAGTGGATTGAATAAGGTTGTCTGGAACGAGAAAAAACCGAGAGTGAAATTGAAAATTATGCAAGATGTTCCAGAAAGGGGAGGTCTTAAACTTCCAAACCTACAGTTATATTATGAAGCAGCAGCTTTGACTCAAGCAAGTGATTGGTTTGGAAGGAAAAAGACTGGAATATTGAATATAGAAAGTTTTGATCTTGAATTTGGTTGGCATGCTTACTTATTTTATGAAAACTAAGTGGATAAAGTATTTAAAAGCCATATACTTAGAGATTCTTTGATGAGAGTTTGGAAGAAGCACCGATTCAAATGGGATTACAAAATACCGCTATGGCTGGATCTTGGTCATATCATGTGGAATACAAATATAATGTCACTCGGGGAGTTTTTATATAAAGAAGTTCTTTTTGCAGATGCGGGCAGATGGCAACTGAAGACGTTAGAAACACTGTTGGATGAAGGGATTAATCTAACTTGGTTACAGTATAATCAACTTCAATTGAGATGGAAAGAGGACCAAAAAATTGGTTGCATGAGGAAGAATTGGTTAGACATATAAAAGAGAAAGGTCCAATGCATATTAAAAGGCTTTATAATGTTTTGTTAGAAAGGGATTCAGAAACTGAATTGGTTAAAGATTGTATGATTAAGTGGGCACAAAATTTTGCAGAGCCAGTGATGTTGGAAACATGGGAAAAAATTTGGGTTCAGAATGTTAAATTTACACAGTCGCAGAATTTGAGGGAAAATTTTTATAAAATGTTTTATAGATGGCATTTAGATCCTAAGAAATTGTCGTGTATGTACCCTAATGTTCAGCCAAAATGTTGGAGATATGACTGCTTAGATGCTACATATTATCATGTTTGGTGGACTTGTAAGAAAGTTAAGGCTTTTTGGATAAAAATTTGGTGGGTCATGCAGAATGTTTTGAAGAAAAAAATTCAATTTTCTCCACAATTGTTTTTACTGGGTATAGTCAAGGGTTTTACATTGGGTGAAACAAAGTTGATATTGTATATGATAACAGCAGCGAGATTATTGATAGGTAAATACTGGAAAAATGAAGCTTTGCCCACAATTGAGGAATGGACTTTGAAGATGGCCAGCTTTGCAGAGATGGCGAAGATTTCAGCATATCTAAAAGATCGCTCACAAGAGACTTATAGAATGGGAATGGAAAAAGTGGATAGATTATGTGCAGAACAAATATCAAACTAGGAAGTATCAAATAGCTTTTCACTGAAGGTATTATATAAAGATAGAAATATTTGAATTTTGTGAAGATGAAAAAGTATATGGGGGATGGAGGGGTTCAAGTTTTATAAAAAGGGGATTTTGATGGGATTATATTCTGTGGAAGTCCGGGGGGGAGGGGAGGGTTAGGGGGGGTTTGGGAGGGTTAGGGAGGCTGGGGAGCTTGGGGTGGGTTGGGGGGGGGAAATGGGGTGAAAATGTAATTGTAAAACTTTTGCAATAAAAAAAAATTCATTTTTTTTCTTCACATGCACAAATTCCAGAAGTGATATCCAAATAAGAACATATTTTCCTCTCTAAATAATCAAGTTAACCATTCCTGCTTTATCTTCCTTGCTATGGAAATAATGTGTATTGCTATTTGCACCTAGTAATCTTTATGAACTGTCATGATTTTTATTTACAAAATTTATTGTATTCTTTCAAATTCTCTGGCCTAAAACCCGTGTGTGTGTGTGTTTTTTTTTTCCCCTTTCCCCTTCCTTTTTTTTCCTTCAAAGTACTAAACTTTTTAAAACAAAAAAGGCACTTTTTTTTCTTTTAAGTCAAAACTTTCTAATACATCTTATTCTTTAGCTAATATACAAGCTTTAAACTTCAATATTGCATATAGCTCCCTCCCTCCAAACTACCCTTATAGATTAATTATTTTTTTCTTTTATAAACATCCTTTTTTTCCCCTGAATGACATCGCTCTGCTAAACAAATAATTCCCTCAACACTGTCAATCTAGTTACTAAGTCTGCATTACTATTAATTCTCCTCAGCGTGAGAAACGTCTGTCAGACTGAGGTTTGGACTCCACTATGCAGCATATGACCGAGTCTGCAGAATTTAAATAGCTCCGCCCTCTGCTGGTTGATCCCAGTGTTTTGACTCGGTCCTATGCTGGACAGTGGTGTCTTTCTGGACCTCGTCTTTTGACTGATTTCTTTACCTTTTTTTCCTGCAAAAAATTTCCCCTTTTTTCTTTCTTAACAATTTGGACTGCTTTTAATCCTTTTTTCCTTTGGATAGAGCGGCGTTAAGGGTCCTTACTCGACACCGCCGACGGCCGCGCTAGCGGCAGGGGGCTTCCTCCTCAAGGATCCCCTGAGGGGTCGCAGCTCATCTCCCCCTCTGCCTCCCCTTGCATCGGGAGTGCCTGTATAGCTGCATTTGAACGGCATTTGCCGAGCAGCTTCCTGGCGCTGATTCTGGCGGGTGATTCAAATGGCGCCATTTTCTTGCCGCTTTTACTGCCTGGAGCTAGCAGCTTGACGAGCGATTTCCCAGCGGAGCCTTTCTCCTTGGCCCAAAGTCAACTCTGGAGCCAGAATCCTCCTGTTCAACGGAGATCCTCCTCGTTCAGCTAAGTTATCTTGGGGGCTTACTTTTAACACTGAGGCTCTTTCTCCCCTCCCAAGGGATTGTGAGTTCAAAATGGCGGACGCTTCTAATCATCCCCGCTCAACCTCGGCCTCCTCACAGACCCACCATCGGCACGCTAGCGACCCGGGGGAGGGCACCTCCGCTAAGCAATCACGCAAGGGCAAAGCCCCAAGAAAGGGATCCTCCGCTTCAGCCGCCCAGCCTCCCAAACAATCTAAGGAAGAGCTGAGACGCCACAGGGCGTTGGAGAAGGCGGTTCTCAGGGCACAACAACTGCCCTCCGCCTTTTTGCCTGTCCCGGCCACCATTCTATCACCAATAGATTCGGCCACGGGTCCTCAATTGTCTGAGACCCATCCGGGGCGTGAACTATCTCCGGATCGTCCTTCCTCCCGTGGGCCAACCTTATCTGAGGCAGAGCAGGTCTTCCAGCCATCCCAGACCCCTCTGATCCTCACAGGCCTAGCCATTCAGTGACCTCCGTTCCAGGTCCTTCCAGCCTAGCAACCAGTCACGTTGCCACTCATCCCCCCCCAGGGGGAACATCTCAGGCAGATCCTCAAGCTACGCTAGAGGCCATCATCGCCAGGGCTATTCAACAGGGTTTGGCTCAAGGTCTTCAGCAAGGCCTCTTTCAGCCGCACCCTTCCGTGCCTCACGCTCAATCCTGCCATGTGCAATCTGATCACTCCACTGATCACCAGTATTCCCCGGAGCCCTCTAACCAGGGGTCTCTATCGGATGAAGAGGAATCGAGGGAGTTATCTCTTTCGGATGATGAGGGACTGGCTCCGGACCAACCAGCCTTTATTGGTCTCTTTAGACCTCAGCTTTTCTGATCTTTATTGTACAAAGCCCTAGCTGTGACCAGACTGGGTTCTCCTTCTACTGCGGGTACAACACTCCCTGAGAGTGCGGATCCTGCCTCTTCTCTCTTTGCTGAACCAGCTGTTGAACCTGAACTTATTCCTGCCCCTAAACTGTTTACTGACGTTGTACAACGACAGTGGGCACTGCCTGGCTCAGCTCCAGCTCCGAGTGGCATCGATAAACGATTATATCAAACTGCCCCAGCTCTTTCTAATTTACTGCAAGTACCTCCAGTGGACGGCCCAATTGCAGCCTTGACATCTCCTTCCAGACTCCCAAGCTCTCCGGAAGAATCACTGCGTCCTGAAGACAAACGGCGGAAAAGACTCTTATCAAGGCACATCAATCTGCTGCGTGGGCTGTCAAAATGGCCACCGCAGCCTCCTTTTTCAACCGAGCCTCTCTGTTATGGTTGAAACAACTACAGGATTGACTACCTCCTTCGGACATTCACACTCACCAGGACCTGAACAAGATAGTCGCGGCCCTAGAGTACTCGGCAGATGCCACCTTGAATTCCGCTTGTTTTGCGGCCAAATCCATCGGCTCCACTGTTACATCCCGCAGACTTCTGTGGCTCCACCACTGGCAGGCCGATGCCAAAAGCAAATGGCCACTCACATCATCTCCCTATTCGGCTGACTCCCTGTTCGGTCCACCGTTGGAACCCCTTCTTGTAGAAACCAGAGATCGTCGCAAGATCCTCCCTTCAGTCTCTCGGCGCTCCAATTCTCGCTTTTCCCCCTACAGCAGAATTCAGTCCTTTCAATCTCAGGAATCCAGCTCCTATCAGCCTCGTTTTCAACGCTCCTACCAGAGCCAACCTCATCAGGACCCCCAGGTCAGACAGAGTAGTAGGCCTTTCCATAAGTGGCCCTTTCAAGGGGGTAGGGGAAAGCCATTCCGTAGGTCCAAGTGAAACGGAATCAGAGATTCCCATTGGCGGCCGCCTATCCTTGTTTGCCGATCAATGGGATCTTTCCACCTCTGATTCCTGGGTTCAGTGTACAGTTAGGTATGGTCTTTCCCTTAAGTTCTCCTCCCCTCCCCCTCCTGTTTTTATCTCCTGTCTGGTTTCAAGGGACAGAGTTTGGAGGAGCCTAGTTTCGGGGGCCATCTCCCACCTAATTTCTATCAGAGCCATTCAGCGGGTCCCTCCCGACCAATGTGGCCTCGGTTTTTACTCCCGTTTGTTCATAGTTAGCAAGTCATCCGGGAGGTGGAGGGCCATCCTTGATTTGAAGGCTCTTAATCGGTACGTTGTGTATCACCAGTTTAAGATGCACACCCTGCAGACTATCCTGGAGACTCTCCGGCCAGGGGATTTCCTCACCTCCATCAATTTAACGGAGGTGTACCTTCACGTCCCTATCCACCCTGACTTCCGTAAATACCTTCGGTTTCACTACCGAGGGTGTCATTACCAGTACGCTGCCCTCCCATTTGGCCTGTCCTCCACCCCCCGCGTCTTTACTAAGATTATGGCGGCTCTAGTGGCCCATATCCGGTCCACCCCCCTTAGAATCCAATTTTACTTAGATGACATTTTACTTCAATCCTCCTCCTTGAGAGCGGTCCGCCAGGACCTGGCTACTACTATCCGGATTTTTCAGGACCATGGTTTCTCCGTAAATTGGTCCAAGAGTCACTTGGTTCCGACCACCTGTCTCCAGCACTTAGGGGCTGTAATCAATACTGTAACCTCTACGGTTTCCCTTTCGGTGGACCGACAGACCAGCCTCTGTTCCATGGCCCTCCGCTGTATCTCGGAGCGGTCCTCTTCTCTTCTCGGGCTGTCTTGCCTTATGGGGAAGATGGTCTCCACGTACGACATTGTACCGTGGTCGAGGCTCCACAGTAGGGAATTACAATGGTTCCTGCTCCCACATCAGAAAAACCGATCCAGTACCTCCCTCCGCAGAGTGTCTCTTCCCCCGGCTGTGATCTCCTCTCTCCGATGGTGGACGTCCTCAGCTTTGTCCGCACCCTGCTTCTTCAGGGAACCGACCCGCCACATCACCATGGACGCGAGCCTCCAGGGTTGCGAGGCTCACTTGAAGCATCACCTGACTCAAGGTCAGTGGTCGACTCTTGAACGGTCCCTTCCCATTAATCTTCTGGAACTGAGGGCCATTCATCTAGCATTACTCCACTTCCAGAACCTTATTACTTCTTGTGATGTGCTCGTCCTAACGGACAACGTTACAGCAAAGGCACACGTTAATAGACTGGGAGGCACTCATTCTCGAGTGCTCATGGATGAGGCTCTACTTCTCGGTCTCTGGGCTGAGTCTCACCTTAAATCTCTTCGCGCAGATCACATCTCGGGAGAAGAGAATTCGCAAGCGGATGCTCTCAGCAGACATCAACTGGACAATGCAGAATGGAGTCTCCCTGCTCATATCTTCAGAGACATCACTCTCTGTTTTGGAACTCCTGAGGTGGATCTATTTGCATCTCGGACGAATCACCAGGTTCCGAGGTATTTTTCCCGATACCAAGACCCCAGGGCTGAAGCCACTGATGCTCTTCGCTGTCCTTGGCCATCAGGCCTTCTATATGCCTTTCCTCCATTTCCTTTGCTCCCTAGGGTCATCAGGAAAGTCATTCAGGAATGGGCAGAGATCATTCTCTTGGCACCGCGCTGGCCACGGAGACACTGGTATGCGGACTTAGTGTCCCTATCGGTCGATCGACCTTGGAGCATCCCAGATGACCAGATGATCCTCCTCCAGGGTCCCCTTCGGCATCCGGACCCATCATGGTACCGCTTAACCGCATGGAGGCTGAGCGGTTCTTCTTAAAAAAGGCCAACGTTCCCTCTGCAGCAATCGATGTGGTTTTAGCCTCCCGCAAGCCATCTACCAACAGGATCTACGACTCAACATGGTCATCATTTGTCGATTGGTGCCAACGTTCCCACGTCCATCCCCTATCGGCCTCAGTGCAGAATGTGTTGCGTTTTCTATTGGAGGGGTTCGAAGCTGGCCTATCCCCCAATACTCTTCGACGTCAAGTGGCCGCCATTTCTACGGTTCTGACCTGCGGTTCTTCTTCATCTATTTCTTGTCATCCCATCATCCGCCAATTTTTGCGCGGCGCCACCAACTTACGACCTCCACCGGTCCATCGCTTCCCTACTTGGGATCTGAACAAGGTAACTGACCGCTCTCACAGCCTCCCCCTTCGAACCGCTCCGGCAAGTCTCGCTACGCTTCTTGTCCTTCAAGGTCTCATTCTTGGTCGCAATCACGTCGGCCCGACGCATTTCAGAACTGGTGGCCCTATCGTCTCGTAAGGACCTCTGCATTTTTCATCATGACAGGGTAGTCCTCCGACTGGACCCAGCGTTCATACCTAAAATCAACTCTCCCTTTCATCGGGCTCAAGAATTGGTCCTGCCCAATTTCTGTCCCTCCCCTATGCACCGCTTAGAACGCACGTGGCACACATTGGATGTCCGCCGAGCCATCAAAATATATCTGATGCGTACTTCCACATTTCGTAAAACAGAGGCGTTGTTTGTCTTCTACCAACCCACGTCTATTGGAACCAAGGCATCTGCACCTATGCTGGGTCGTTGGATCCGGGCAACCATATCTACTGCCTACCAAAGACAGTCTTTACCTATTCCCCACCGTATCACGGCCCACTCCACCAGGAGTGCGGCAACCTCCACTGAGTGGGCAACCCAGGCTCCGTTGGAGGAGATTTGCAGAGCGGCCGCCTGGACAAGCATCTCCCCCTTTATCCGACACTAACGAGTGGACTCGTTTGCATCGGCGGAGGCGGCCTTCGGACGCAGAGTCCTCCAGGCAGTTCACACGGCTTGAGGTAACAGGGCCTGTCTCTTCCCTCCCAGTGGACATTCAGCTTTGGTATGTCCCCAGTTTGACAGACGTTTCTCACGCTGAGGAGAATGGACGTTGGTCTTACCTGATACGTCCGTTCTCTCTTAGTGAGGAATGTCTGTCAGCCCCACCCTTCTTGGTGGGCCCTGTTCCCGGTGGGGTGGGTGGTGTTCTTTTACCTCTCCTTTTATATTTTTCCAGAAAGACACTCCAGTCTGCGTTAACGCCCTTGCCGAAACACTGGGATCAACCAGCAGAGGGCGGAGCTATTTAAATTTTGCAGACTCGGTCATATGCTGCATAGTGGAGTCCAAGCCCCAGTCTGACAGACGTTCCTCACTAAGAGAGAACGGACGTATCAGGTAAGACCAACGTCTATTTTCACATCATTCTATCACCCATCTCCTCCCACTTATGACTGTATGAATGTCACCTTGTTGCTGGTACCCTTAAGATTTATATTGACTGTTTCCCTACAACTATCAATAAGTGTTGTATCTTATGATTCTTGATGAATGTATCTTTTCTTTTATGTACACAAGAGAGCGTATGCACCAAGACAAATTCCTTGTGTGTCCAATCACACTTGGCCAATAAAGAATTCTATTCTATTCTTTTTAACAGAGTTTTTCTTTAAACTGTTACATCATTTTCTTTTACTTTCTCTTAATATAGGTACTCTCAAATACATTTTCAATAGCTTTGCCTACTTTAAGAGTTATTTAAGCATTATATATATGTAAATATATATATATATTTGCAAATTTTGGGTCAAACCTTTCTTTCAGATGCACATATCAAGCAAATAAAAATGCGTCCCGATTCCAGTTAACTCATTAAGCTTAAGACATTCCTTCCAGCTTATCTTCATGGAGTAAAATCTTTTTCTTCTCTGGAAGTATCAAAGACTTGTAGTCTTTTCTTTTTCTCACAAGATCCTCAACCTTGTTAATGTCCTTAAAGAAAAAGTCCTAAATTTGTCTATTTTCTCAAAGCTCTTCTTTCAATTGTATTGAGAGGTTTACATTTGAAACATAGTAGTGAGGGTAAAAATGAAAGTTAATATCCAGCTCTTCCAAACCTGCGATACACTCCTCTGCATTTTCAGCTATTTATGAAGTTGCCTCAGCAGTTTGGTAATATTCTCCACTTTTTGCATCTCAGAAGTACTTTAAGATGATTTTTTATCCTCAGAGAACAACTGATTCACAAATTGGCATATTTCATTTAGAGACCTTTCAAATATATCTCTAATACTTTGCTCCATCATCTTGGCTTTCTCTTTTAATCAGAATCAGAAGATTTTAGCCACCCACAGCTGAGAAGATCAAGCTACCAGTTACTACAATAGTAAACTAAAATCACAGCTTCAATCATTATTTTTCTCTGATAGCTTTTTTTTTCTCGGCCCATTTCTTCATTTGGCTTGCCTTAGCAGCCTTCTTCCTTGTTCTTTAAGACATCCTTAAAATGGTGCTGATCTTCAAAAAGGTATTGCTGTTGCTAGAAAGGGTCTCTTTTAAATTGACCAGGTAGAAAAATAGCCTTTGAAGATGATTGAAATAAGGAAGGCATAACTTACTGTTGGATTGAAATGTGAATTTCCAAACACAATGGCTTCTTCAGCCCCTGAACAGATTGCAGCCTCTTCCCTCCCAGCTTTTGGCATACAGACAGCTTCAGAGTTCAACTCCAAAAGCAATCTGCCGGTTTACTGCTATATTGAGGGGTCCTGAGGGAAAGTTCTTCGACACACCCTGACCAGGTGGGTCATAAAAACTGATGGGATACAATTCTTTCAGTTAGAAGGCAGAAGAGCAACACTCCAGGGAGAAATCCTTCAGAGATCTCTCCCTGTGCATGTGTTCAGTTAGCCATGTTCCCAAGAAGTGCTAATAGGCTTTTCTTAAGTTTATTATTTTGAAGTAACTTCTGTTCAGAGAAACTGCCAGTTCCATAATCATAAAATTGCACTGAGAAAGTTAGATTGTCATGGGATCAGCTATGTTGTGGGTCAGGATTTGCAATGAATTTTCTTAAAGTGTTCTCTTAGGATGAAATAGCTCTCCTGATATTGTTGCTTAACTGTTAAAAGGTGGGATAATAAAATCTGCACATCAGAGATTTCAGATTTAGGAAATGTAAACTCTAAAATCTTCCATTATTTGTTATATCTTTTGAAAATTGCAGTTCAAATTGTATGTTGACATTGTTAGAATAAAAAGTGAATTTGACTTACTTTTATGATACTAATTAGTATTTTAAAGATAACCTAAAAGAACTATACTTAATTCATTGTTGCAACCAAAAAATTTATAGAGCTGATAATGAAAGATTATTTTCCAGTACTGTGAATAAATGCTTATGAGTTGACCACCATAGATCAACTTTCAGATACCGTATTTTTCGGAGTATAAGATGCACCTTTTTCCTCCCAAAAAGAGGGTGAAAATCTGGGTGCGTCTTATACTCTGAATGTAGCCCCACCTAGCCTTGCAAACAGAGATTTCAGAGGCTGAAAAAAGCCTCTGAAAGAAGCTTCAGAAAAAAAAAGGCTCAGAAATGAAGCTTCAGAAAAAAAGGCTCAGAAACAAAGCTTCAGAAAAAAAAGCCTCTGAAAGGCTTTTATCTAAAATAACATGGCAAGGAACAAAAGAAGAATCAGTAAAGGTTCTAACCAAATTATGTTAACAAATCTGGAGAATGACACAATAACCAACAGATTGGAAGACGTTAATCTACATACCAATACCAAAGAAAAGAGATTGAACAGAGTACAGATAGTCCTTCAGAATAAAAGCCTCTGAAAGAAGCTTCAGAAAAAAAGCCTTTGTTTCTGAAGCTCTGTTCCGAGGCTTTCAGAGGCAGAAAAAAAAGTTTTTTCTGAAACAGAGTTTTAGATGTTTAAGAGGCAGGAAAAAAAAGCAAGGCACAGAGCTCATAACCAACAAACCTGTTGCTAAAATTCACCTCTGGAAACAGCTGATTGGGGGTATTCCGGGAGGCTGATTCACCCACCAATCAGCTTTTTTCTTATTTTCCTCCCCAAAAACTAAGGTGCGTCTTATATTCCAGTGCGTTTTATATTCTGAAAAATACAGTAATTATTTGGGGGGAAATCTTTGCTTTCCTATCAAGTAAAAACTGTTCCACACAGTGCAGTAAAAGTTTATAGAGCTAGTGGATTTATAGTTTTGCCATTTTGCTTTATCTGTATGAATAAAAATGGATTCTATGTAGCTGAGTTTTGAAGGATTAAATCTAGGATATAAAGTTTTTTTTTAATTTGCTAGCTTTTATTATGTATAAAATGTACATGTTTGTTTTTAAATAAGACCTCCCCCAAAAAATAAGCCTGAGTAGGTCTTATTTTCGGAGAAACATGGTAATAGGCAATTAATGTTATTCAGAGATAATAATCCAATTTATTTTGTCCAATTTTATGGAATGTTCCTTTTAGATATATATTATATGTATGCATTTATTCTTAGTGGAGGGAAGAATCTCTCAAATAAATTATAACTGGAATTTGCAATTCTAGTTTGACAAAATGGGGCATTGAACATGTTAAGGGGCTTATTTTAAATTCAGATTTCATCTTTCTTTTGGATAGAAGAAAAGGCATAAACATTAAAAATTACTTAAAAATGAAAACAGCATAGATTTTAGCGTATAATCTGGATTATGGTTACTTGATTGGAGTAGTATTGTAAATCTTGGGAACCATCTCTAGTTCATCAAAGATTTTTCTCCCACAAATTAAAACCAATTATTCACAGGGTTATATATCTGTGTGTGTGATGGCTATGCCATATGAATCATACATTACTCTTTCTGGATATACTTGATAGAATGCCTTTTTAATTAATTTTCTATTTTTTTGCAGTTCAACTTCTTAAACTGCTTTGCCTCTTTATTCTACATTGCATTTATCTTAGTTGACATGAAACTTCTAAGACAGGTAAATTTTGTATAAATTGTTTTTAAAAAGCAACAACTGATTTTCTTCATAAATTAATTAAAGCTGTATATTTTTTCTGTTACTTGATTAATTTATGATTGTACTTAATTTATATCAACCTTATTCAAACTATTGCTCAATCTTGAATGGTTTGGGTTAAGCAATTCCTAGAACTGTTTTCCTGTCATTAAAAAAAATCTTATGTTTACTATTGCACTGATTTGTTTGCTCACTGAAAGAACTACTGAAGTGTGTTGTTACAAAGGCTGTTTTAGTATGTGCTTGCTTGTATCAATTTTATAAGACTGCTCTTTATTTACTAAACAGTGTTCCATGAAAATAACACAATTTTGCCAGCATTCCTGTTCGTAAATTGAGATTTGCTAAGATCATTTCTGTCGTAATACATTAATGTGCATACAGAACATATGCAGGGTTTAATGCCTTCATAAAATATAATTTTTAAAAATATATGCACATTTCAGACTTCAGAAGTGTCATGAATGGGGGAGAAGCAGTAAAAATGTTACAATGGAATTTAAAATAAGCTCTGTTAACAAGAATTTTGCAGTAATAATATTTGAACTTCAGGCATTTTTAAAATTACCTTCTAATTGACATTTTGTGCAGAGAATAATTAATTCAGTAAGGCTCCTGAAAGGTAATTGATACCAGGACTGCAAATGAGTTATTTTTTTTTATTAAAGAGTTTTACAAAAAGAAAAAAATTTTTTTACAAGTATTTCCCCCTCCCCCCCTCCCTTCCTTACCCCCCCTCGAACTTCCCAGAACAAAATACAGGGTATATCATTAACAATCATATGCTAAACTAAGCTAATTAACTAAGGAGTCCTATCCCCCTCTTCACACTTTAACTCCCCTTTTACTTAACTAAATATAAATACTCTTAATTTTTCTATTCATTCATAAGCTATTTGATACTTTTTAGTCTGATATTTGTTTTGAATATAATCAATCCATCTTCTCCTTCCGATATGTTTCTTGTGAATGATCTTTCAAATATGCTGAAATCTTTGCCATTTCTGCCAGATTCGCTATTTTTAATGTCCATTCTTCAATAGTAGGCAATTCTTCCTTCTTCCAATATTGCTCCACCAAAAGTCTAGCTGCAGTTATTAAATTTAAAATCAATTTAGTCTCTATAACCGTACAGTCTGTAATTATACCCAGCAAAAACAATTGTGGAGTAAACTTTATCTTCTTTTTAAGAACATTTTGGATGATCCACCATATTTTAATCCAAAATGCTTTAACTTTTTTACAAGTCCACCATATATGATAATAAGTGGCATCATCACAATCACATCTCCAACACTTAGAGTGCAAATTCGGATACATACAAGCCAACATTTTAGGATCTAAATGCCATCTATTTATATTTCTAACCCATATTTTTTCCCAAGTTTATTGGTTCCTGAATGTTTTGTGCTCATTTTATCATACAATCCTTAACTAATTCCGTTTCTGAATCTATTTCTATCAATACATTGTATAATCTTTTTATATGCATTTGACCTTGGTCTCTAATTTGTTTTACCAAATTTTCCTCGTTCTGCATGATACCAATTCTCTGATCTTCTTTCCATCTAGCTTGCAACTGACCATACTGAAACCAAGTTTGAATTATTCTTTCTTCTCTATCGCATGTCTGGGTATTGCCCATATCTTATAACTTAATTTATATTGATACTTTTTCCAAACTCGTAACAAGGCATTCCTTAATATATGGCTTTTAAAGGTCTTATCCACCTTTTTATCATATAATAAGTAAGCATGCCAGCCATATAACAAATCATATCCTTCAATGTTCAATATTCTTTCTTCTGTTGAGTTAATCCAATCACTAATTATTGTTAGGACAGCTGCTTCATAGTATAATCTTAGATTAGGCATTTTAAGACCTCCTCTTTCACGTATATCTTGCATTATTTTTAACTTTATTCTCGGTCTTTTCCCTGCCCAAACAAAATTATTAATACCCTTCTGCCGTTCCTTCAAATTTTCACCTTTCTTGAGTATTGGTATCATTTGAAACAAAAATAGAAACCTAGGTAAAACATTCATTTTTATAGCTGCTATTCTTCCCAGTAGAGATAGTTGTAGTTTTCTCCAATTCTCCATCTCTTTCTGTATTTTTTGCCATAACAATTCATAATTATTTTTATATAATTTTACATTTGAGGCTGTGATATATACCCCTAGATATTTAACCTTTTTTACTATTTCAAATCCTGTTAGTCTTTCTAGTTCTTCTTTTTGCTTTACTGTCATGTTTTTAGTTGTTATCTTTGTTTTTTGTTTATTTATTTTAAATCCAGACATTTGTCCATATTGGCTAATTATATCCATTAAACCTGTAGCTGATTGTACTAGTTGAGTTAAAGTAACAACCAAGTCATCTGCAAATGCTCTTAATTTATAATCATGATGTCTAATTTTAATTCCCTTTATTTTATTTGACCCTCGTATTTTATTCAATAAAGGTTCCAAAGTTAAAATAAACAATAATGATGATAAAGGGCATCCCTGTCTTGTTCCTTTTTCAATTTTAAAAGTTTCTGTTAGACCACTATTAATTATTATTTGTGCTGTTTGTCTCTGATATATTGCTCTAATAGATTGTGTAAAGTATTCTCCAAACTGCATCTTTTCTATTATTTTCAATAAAAATTGCCAATTCAATCGATCACATGCCTTCTCCGCATCCAAAAAGATAAGCGCTGTAGGGACATGGTTGTTCCTTTCCAGATATTCCAATAAGTTTACAATTTGTCTTACATTACATTTCATTTGTCTCCCGCTTATAAATCCAGATTGGTCATTATGAATCATTTGTTGCATGATTACATCAACCTATTTGCTAGTATTTTAGCAAAAATTTTGATTATACAATAATCAATAAAATATTAAACAATAGTCAGTGTTTAAAAGTGATATTGGCCTATAATTCTTAGGTTGACTACAGTCTTGATCCTCCTTTGGAATCAATGAAATAAAAGCTGTTCTCCAGGAAGGGGGTACATCTCCTCCGGCTTGAATCTTACAAAATAGTTGCTTAAGCGGTTCTACCATTTCTAACTGCAAATTTTTATAATAAACAGCTGTCAGTCCATCTGTGCCTGGAGCTTTACCCCCCTTTAACTGTTTAATTGCTAAAATAATTTCTTCCGAAGTTATTGGTTCCCTTTGCTCTGGTGTAATTACAGGGATATTCTCCTCCTATAAATATCTATCTATGTCTTTGCCTTGAATTGTATCACTAGCATATAACTTTGAATAGAATTCTAAAAAAGCTTTTTTAATCATATTTTGTTGATATACCTCTTTACCTTTGTATTCTATTTTTTCTATAGTACATAGCTTTTGTTTTTTCCTTAACAAGTAGGCTAACCATTTACCTGGTTTATTTGCATTACAAAAAGTGTTATGTTTAGCATATTGTAAGTTAGTTGCCACTTGGTTTGCCATCAACATATTAAACTGCCCTCGCAACAAATTTATTGTTTCCTTTATTTTCTTATCTGTTGGATTTAATATAAGTGCCTGCTCTTTCTTTTTTATTTCCTCTTCTAAGTCCCTCCGTTTCTTTTCTTGTCTACATCTATATTTATTATTCAAATGTATTAAGGTTCCTCTCATATATGCTTTACTTGCATCCCAAACCATTTCCATAGGTGTACCCTTGTGCATATTCATAGCAAAAAATTATTTCATTTGTTTTTTACATTCTTTCACATTTTCCTCATATCTAAACAAATTTTCATTTAATCTCCAAGACCTTCTAGCTCCCTTTTCCTGCTCTAATTCCATCCACACCGGATTATGATCAGATAAAATTCTTGAACATATCTTCGTCTTCTTTACCCTAGAAAAGAAATCATTAGTGATTAATATAAAATCAATCCTAGAAAAGGATTGATGTCTATCAGAAAAAAAAGTAAAATCCTTTTCTTCAACATTTCGTTCCCGCCAGATATCTCTCAGCTCCATATCATCCATTATATCAAAAAAAGATTTGGGCAATCTTGCACGATTTTGGGTATTTTGAAGTAATCCTTTTTTGTCCTTTTGGGTATCCAATACTCCATTCCAATCACCCATTAATATACATGATTTATAATCCCATTGTATTATTTTGGTATGCAAAAGCTTATAAAATTTTTCTTGCTGTTGGTTAGGAGCATATACTCCAATTAAAAGTGTTTTCTTCCCTTCTATTAGGAATTCAATTGCAATATATCTTCCTTGAGCATCTGCCTCAATTAATTTGGCTGTTAAAACTGTCCTTAGGTATATAACTATACCATTTTTCTTCTCTGGAGCAGATGCAACAAAATGTGTCCCCAATCTTTGGGGAATTTATCAAATATTTTTGATCTGTCACTCTAATATGTGTTTCTTGTAAGCAAATTACATCGTTTTTAAACTGTTTCAAATAATGAAAAATTTTCTTTCTCTTTTGTGGTGAATTTAAACAATTGACATTCCAAGTCAAAAATTTAGTTACCATTCTTGGCACCTTGAAGCTTTAAGAACGCCAGCTGAAAATCCTCCTGCACCTTTCTCTTTGGCTTTGCTTCTCCCACTGCTTCTGTTTTTGTAGCTTCTGGAGCTTTCATTTGGGTTTGCTGTAACTTTAAATCTTGTTCTTTTCGCTTTGCTGCAGCGCGAGTCTGCCTTTGGTCTTTTGATTCTTCTCTTTTTTCTGCTACTTCCAAAGGTTGATCAGTACCAAAAAATTGCAATAAATCTTCTTCAATAAGCGAGGTCTCTCCTGCAGCTTGTGGCTGTTTACTTTCCTTCTGTCCCTGTATTGCCAGCTCTTCTTTTCCTCTCCTCATTTCCTGAGATGGTGGGCATCCAGCCTTTAATACATTAGTATAAAAATCTCTTGCCTTTCAAATTGTGTTAAGACGATACCTTTCTCCCATATAATTCACCACCAGTCCAGCTGGAACATCCCATCTAAACTGAATCTG